CAACAAAGATTTATACTAATATTGGCGTATAAGAGGTTATTCATTTTATAGATTCTCATTCATGTAATGAAATTATTTAAAATTTTCCTATTACGGTAATTACTCAATTCTTTACTTCTTCTCTTAACTAAAGTTTCAATTATTTATTATCATTTTTAATGATGTGCATGTTACTGACAATTTCGATAATACAAGATCTATGATATTTCTTAGGTTAGAAAATTTCAAAAACATATCTGAAATTTTAACCATGACAAAGTCAAAGAGTGATACGATAAATATTATTTATCTTATACTTTGTTCTTCTTACTTTATTTTTAAATTAATTTTTTAATTAATTTTTAGAATGATGTAATTGGTTGTATTGCAACTGTGAACTATATTGCTTAAAAATGGTTAGTATTATATTTCTTGCCCTTATTACAAGAAGAATGTTTCGAAGTTACAAATTTTAATGTGAATTATGTTATAAAGATGTTGAGTACCCAATGACAAGGTAATTAAATTATAACGCTGTGTATTCTAATTTTTAAATTTTACTATTAAAATAAATTAAATTATATATTATTACCTTAATTTATATACATTACAAGTTTTGTCTTAAGCTTGATATCAAAGATTTTACCGATTCAACTATATTTGTTTTATTTGATGAAGTTATTAAAAATTAGCATAAGTAAAGTTAAAAGATCTCATTACAACATTTGAAGTTGTAAGCAAATCTTTTAAGATCTAACTTACTAAAAAATTTAATCAAATGATTAATTATATAATAAAACATGTTAAAATAAATAACTATTTTTATATGATAATTTTTCTTATGATGATGGTGAAAGGTTAAAGTTGCCTCCACAACTTTAAAAAATAAGTACTTACTTTGAAAGTTGTAGAAAATAAAGTTTCATAGCAAATAAAATTTTAAAGCCTGTTGTGAAGGTACAATGATGAATAACTTTATTTTCATTGTTTAATATCTATTTTTTGATAAAGAAGAAAATTTAGACAATATAAATATAAAAACAAAAGAAGATGATTTGGCAACAAGTTCTTCATGTATATCTCTAACTGAGGGAACACCAAATTTACGAAAAAAAGAGAGAAAAGTAATGTATAATTTATAAATTTATAATGTAGTGTTGAAATTTTTTAGATCATACAGTAATTTATATTTGATATTTTATTTTATGTTGCAACTTGATAAAGAAAGAGTAAACAACGAAAGACAACAATGAAAGATTCAAAAGATTAAACAATTTTATTGCATTATTATAGAAATACTTTTAAAATTTTGTAAAATTTAAAAAGTAGAATGTCACCAAATATTTTTATCTTTTATAAAATAATTTTTTTATTTTATTATATATATTTCTCTTATTTTATTATTATTATTATTATATATATATATATATATATATATATTATGTATTGACTTTATTTTTATTATAACATTTGTCTATATTTTATATGTGACTCAAATTTTATATTATGTCAATATGTGTAATTTTAATTGATATAAGGATTAATTTTTGTTTTCAATAAAATTATTATTCTCTTTTAGTTTCTATTTAAATCTTATTTAAAATTTTTGAATATAAAAAATATATAAAAATTTGTATATAAAAATTTATTTATCATATTTTTTAATATAATTATATTTGATATTATTCAATATATAATAAAATTTTATTATTATATATTTCTATATTTAAATTATAATTTTTTGTTTATTTTAAAATAAAATAATTGAATAAAAATATAAACAAATTTGTATAATATACAAACATATTTACTAATTTATAACTAAATTATTATTATTATTATTATTAGAATGTATAATGTTTATAAAATCACATATAAATTAATTTTAACTGTTATATTGATTTTTTATATAATTTATTTAAAAAATAATTAAAATTTCTATTTAAATTTTTTATCATTTTATTACATAAAAAATAATTATTTTAAAATTAAATTAAATAATAAAAAATATAAATATATCTGTACAAATCAGTGCAACATACAGTCATATTTACTAGTATATTATGTAAATCACACGGTCATTTATTTAATTTGGTTTCTGCATTGCACGCAAACTAAACAAAAGCTAACCCCTGACACCAGCAATTACTAGTAGTTATAACTTTTTAACACCATCAACCATATTCACCAACATATACAGTGCCCAAATTAACACTTGTCCTAATCGTCATATCCTTCTAAGCTCAATCCAACCCTATCACGAAGACTCGGCGTCTGTAGTAGGGGTACCATAGTGTCATAGTTTCATAAATGTCAATAGCAGCACTACCGTCACCTCAATGTGGATCACAACTAATTGGTCTCTAGCAAACGGAACATTTGCTCAAGAGTCCCATGTGCTGTGTCTAGTCCCAAGAATGCAATCCCTCCTTTAAATTTACACACCTAAGTTCATTATTATTTTAAGCATAGTTGCTCAGCGTATACCTATGTATTAAATAAAGTTGTAAGAAACATTTAATTTACGTCTTATAAAGAAGTGAAATGGATGAAAAGAAAAAAGAGATAAAACAAAAAAAGTAAAGAAAACAGAGAACTTAAACAAAAAATTGAAAAGTAAATTTTAAAAATGTGAAAAAAAATTCCATAAAATTTTTCATTTTTCTTCTGTGTACATTTTTTCTCAGAATATATTTCTTTTTTTATTCCTTATCCTAAGATAGAGCAGTCACCTATCTTAAACATGCATACATTCAGACAGACATATTCAATCAAATTTATGATATTTAATATACTGTCGTTCAATGCTGTGTTAGAAGAGTAACGGTATTAATGATATTAATATTAATCGTATAGAAATATATGCTTAAAATATCTCTAAAAATATAACCTGTGTTGCGTTCTCAGTAACAAATATAGAGGTCTTCATGAAAGGATATTTTAATTTAGTTTTTATTTATATAATTATTATATATATATATATATATATATATATATATATTCAAACCACAAGTAATCAATTAAATATTAACTCGCCATTTGATGCATATGCTCAGTAATCAATAATCGTGTTTTAATATCAAATCATATACTTTGATTCTTTACATACTAGAAGGAAACTTTCACTTTTATTTAGTTTAAATTTTTTCATGTCATTCTTTTGTATCTTTGTTCACACTCTTATAAAATGCCAAATTAATTCAAAAAGATGCGGAAAGTAAAACAAATGATATTCTTTTCTGAAAAGAGTAATTAAGAAAAGTGATATGAAAAAGTATTATTTTATTATACATTAAAGGTGCATTTGAGTAACAACTCAATTAAATATTTATTTAATATATTTTTATTATATTAAAAGTTTATACTATAAGTTTATTTATAAAATTTATTGACATAAACTAAAGACAACTTATTTTAATAAATTATGTGAAAAAATTTGTCTCGATAAACTTAAAAATTTATAAAATTACAAAATATTTAATTTTAGAAATATTCTATAGTAATATTCTTCCAAATATATTTTGTTGTCTTATAAGAATAAAATTGTAATCTCTGTCTATTTTATTCTTTCCCACTTCTTTTAGTAAAATATTAATCTGTTCTCTTTTATTTATAAAATCTATTAAAATTGTTCTTAAATTAAGTAAAATATTATTTTAGTTTTTAACATATGCAATTATAACTCATTTTATTTCTTATTGTTTCCAGAATTCATCAAATAGTCTATAACTTAAACAAAATATCATTTTAGTTTTTAATGTATATAATTTTTAAACATTCTACTCCTTGAGATATACGTTTGTTAATCATTTTAGTTTATATTATTACTTAAACATTAGTTATTCTAATTAACAACCTAATTTAACATGATAAGTATTAGTTAATCACATCACGTGACATTTAATAATAATAATATAATAAAGAGATATGTCTTTAAGTTTATTTTTATAAAAATCCGTTAACTTTGTTTCTAAACAATCTCTAAACTTCAAGTTCTATAGGAATTAAATTAACTGATTAAATATTTTTAACGTTATTAGTAAATGTTACGTATCATGTGTACATGATATTTAACATATGAAGTATTTTATTTGTTAGAATAATTAATATTTAAGTAACAATAAAGATAAATGATTGATATTTAGATACATTAAAAATTAAAATGATTGATGATTATATGTGTTGAAAAAAAAATCAAAATAACATTTTGTTTAGAGTAGTACTATTTTTATAAATTTTTTAAACTATAGAAACTAAAATAATTAAAGATTGTAATCATTAAAAACTAAAATAATGTTTCGCTTAATTTAAAACTATTCTAATAAATTGTAAAAATAATAGGAACCAAATTGGTTGTTTAGTCAATTTTTTCTTCTTTTCTTTTTACTGTGTCTCTTGTCTCCTTCCTAGCAGGCTCTAAGAACAACTCGGATACAGATTGTATACAGATAAGCAATTATTACGTTACTTGTCATAGAATTAAAGTTGATAATATAAAGGAGATAGAGGAAATTGTATTAAAGAAAAAAAGTTAATTATACAAGCAACTCTTACATATCAACAAAAAAGAAAACCTAGATAGATATATTTAGATGTAGGTGGATTTGATTTGAAGTGAGAGCAACTTTCTCAGTTGCAGTGATAAAGATAATGTAAGTTTGACTTTAACTTGTTTAGTTCAGGTATCTTTTTCCTTCTTTAATTCAAATCAATTGTTATTATATTTTTGTAAAGGTCGAGAGACCGGGTGAAAACTAAAACTAAATAGCTAACTCCTGACAAAAACAATTACTAATAGTTATGACTTCTAACTCCCACACTCCACCTTCTTAATTTTCTTTGCCAACATGAACAATGCCTAAAATTACACTTGCCCAATCCCCCAAGTATTGAATCTCTATATATGCTCAAGTATCGCTCCCTTCTTATCCTCTATAAGGTCAACTATACGATATCTCACTCAATAACAGCCTTTTGCATTGAGGGTTTTAGTATCCTACTCCTTCAGTTCCCCCTTGACAATGGCGAAGCATTTCAATTGGATCCCTAATATAATGAACATTTTGTTCATGTCCCTTTTAGTTGTTACTGCAGCTTGTGTTTATGTTCCTGAGTTCAGGCCTCGTCCTTCAATTATAATAGCTTTATGCTTAGGTGCATCCCTGGTGTATTACTTCCTAATGAGTAGACCCAACAAAGTTTACTTGGTAGACTTTGCATGCTTCAAACCAAGCGTTTCTTGTCTTTGCACCAAGGAAATGTTATTAGACAGAGCCAAGCATGTTGGGTTTTTATCAGAAGAGAACTTCAAATTGGTGACAAAAATTATAGACAGGTCTGGTTTGGGACCATTGACATATGTCCCAGAGGGACTATTGGAGATCCCACCAAGACTCACATTGGATGAGGCAAGGAAGGAAACAGACACAGTGCTTTTTGGGGCTGTGGATGAGCTCCTTGAGAAAACAGGTATTGAAGCTAAGGACATAGGGATTCTTGTCGTAAATTGTTGCTTGTTCAATCCCACACCATCTCTATCTGACACCATTGTGAACCGCTACAAGCTTAGAGGGAACATATTGGCCTATAATCTTAGTGGTATGGGGTGCAGTGCTGGGGTTCTTGCTGTTGACTTTGCCAAAAACCTCCTTCAGGTTTTCTCTTATCTTTCAATACTCCATATCTATTTTACTTTCTTCATTTGTTGCCTTCACATATTTCTCCCATTATTCTTCACATATATTATATATCCAGCGGGCACTTCTGCATTAAAAAACAGATTATATTTATGGTACTTTCCGTGCATAAAAAGAAAACTCCTATCCATGCATAAATAAATAAACAAGTAGGCTGAATTTACAAGAAGAAAACACTAACTAAAAAAATTACAAGATTAATTTTCCATGCATAAATTTGGCTGAATAGGTGTATTATTAGTCTTGTTTCCTATCTCCCAAAGTCATACAAAACTGGTATCAATTATCACGAACTAAGTAGTTAATAATGAAACAAAAACCGATGTGTACTGAAAATGAAATAAAAGAAATTACACCGCGAAACAATACCTTCTCTCTCTGCTGCTACCTTACTTTTACGTTCCTTTTTTACCCCTTTTCTTTTCTACTTTTCCTTACGTGATTTTCCACACTTTTGAGCCCAGGCCAGATTTTGTGAAGACTCGTACTACTCTTTAAAATGAATTATTAAAATAAATTATTTTAAAACTTATTATTAAAATGAAGTAATTTTAATAAATTTTTGACAGCCAAAAATTATTAAAACTATCTCATTTTAATATGTTCTCTATGATACTATTTTTCAAATTTTATTCTTAAAAATATATTATTTTCATCAATCAGCCTTCGTTGAATCAGCTGTCTTGTTGTACTTGCTTCATTCCGTGGGCTATCAAAAGGCATATATGTTTATAATTTTGTTTCAAACACACCTACATTATATTGATAGAAGAGGGTTACGATGTAAAACTACTAATTTATTTTTATCTATTTTCTTATTTTATTAACAATCTTATAAATTTCACCTTTTTTTTTGTCTTTTCTCACTTATTATTTCTCATTTCCGTATATATGGATCTTAAAAATACACCTCGAATATAAAAGAAGAACAATCTTAAAATGTTCAAGAAATATTTTGGCTATTTATATTATACAAAAAATACAACTAATTAATAATATAAATATAATTTTTCTAATATATGATTACATGCAACAGGCACACCCAAACTCGTATGCTTTGGTGCTGAGCACAGAAAACGAAATCTCAAGCATGTACTGGGGCAACAACCCTTCGATGCTTCTTGTTAATTGCCTGTTTAGAATGGGTGGTTCTGCAGCATTGCTCTCAAGTCATCCTTCTGACCGGTACCGTTCAAAGTATGAGCTGATCCACACGCTGCGAACTCACGTGGGTGCTGATGATAACAGCTACAAATGTGTGTTTCAAGAAGAGGATGAAGACCAAAAGGTTGGTGTTTCACTCTCAAAAGAGCTCATGAACGTTGCAAGGGATGCACTAAAGGTACACATAACATCACTAGGCCCAGTAGTCCTACCCATTTCTGAAAAGCTCAAGTTCTTGGCAAATGTAGTGGAGAGAAAGGTGTTAAAGACCAAGATTGAAGCCTACATGCCAAATTTCAAGCTTGCTTTCAAACACTTCTGCATCCACACAGGAGGTAGAGCTGTTTTAGATAGGATGCAAAAGAGTCTTGAGCTTGATGATTGGCATATGGAGCCTTCTAGAATGACACTTTACCGTTTTGGGAACACATCATCAAGCTCTGTGTGGTATGAGTTGGCTTATTGTGAGGCCAAAGGAAGAATCAAAAAGGGTGATAGGGTATGGCAAATGGCATTTGGATCTGGATTCAAGTGTAACACTGCCGTTTGGCTTGCGTTGAACACCATTGAACCAGCATCTATCAGAAGTCCTTGGAGGGATGAGATCAATAATTTTCCTGTTAAAGCTGATCCACTCGTCAAGAGTAACAAATAGTTCAATCAAGGAAGCTGGGTTTGGAATTATATTCAAATTATGAGGAATTAGTTTGGATTCTTACTATTTTCAATTTTATTATATGTTTGTGTTATGCTATTAGAGGAAGAGTTATGTACTTTATTTCTTTAATCACCAACCACCTTTTACCGTACCGTTCATTCTCTCACATCTCCTTTTTTCTTTTTATAAACTATACTTTAGGTGATTACTACAGGATCTTCGAGTTTGAGAAGATAATAATATCCTTTTATTTGATCTAAAAAAATTTAGTGACCTAAGTTTATTAAAATCACATTAGAAATGGGTGAAAATTAGTTGGCTTAAATAACATTTTAGTTTCTTGTTAACAACTAAAATCATATATTTGTTTTATATAGCATGAGAGACTTTATAAAATAAAATTTTCATAGGAGATAAAACCAAAAAATAAATAAATTATATTTATAGGGATTAAATGCTATTTAAGCTAAGTTAATTTTAACAGGGTTATAGGTTTTATATTTACTAAATGATTTTATGACATTCTTTTATTTTATTTTTTAACAAACATTTAATATTAGATTAAACTTGTTGTGCTGCACGGTTAATAAAATTAAAAAAAATATATTAAATTATACTTTTAAAATTGAATAGCAAAGATATTATCATAACATTCTAATAAAACATAAGATAAAATACATTTATAATGACAAAATAAATTATATATAAAGATATATTTTAAGATAAAGCGTAAGAGTACTAATAATTATAACATAACTATTTACAATATAATATTATTGATTTTTATAAAAATAAATACATTTTACCATATGTTAATAATTTTTAATATTCAAATTTTAATACTTTTTAATTATTCGATTCAAATTTTAAATGTTATCATGCTTTTAATATTTTATTTTATAATTTATAAATGTTGTTAAAAGTTAAATTGACAGAAAACTCATGTATATATTTTAAATATTTACTAAAAATCAAAAGTAATTAAAATTTTCATTTATCTAATAATTAATTTGACATAAGAAAATATCTCATTAAATTATTAACTTACCCTTTTATCCATTCGAATATAAATTTACTATTATCATGAAAAATGTTGAACAAAAATAATTATGAATGATTGATATTAAAATAAAATAAAATTCTTAATAATTTTTTTGTTCAAGTGTACTTTTTGCCATTAAAATTAAAGGAGTCTTAAATAATAAAATATGTTCATTGATTTACTTACGGAGGGTAGGATACTCCTTCAAATTTAGAGGTATCGCAAATTTTTTTAGTCTTTAAGTATCACAAGTTTTATTCTATTTTTTATATTTTTTTATTTTTATTTTTTTTACTATATAATTTTATTTATTTATCTATTTATTTATTCTTGCTAATAAATAGGACTTAGAGTCCAAACAACAACAAGAACCTAGGTAACACTTCTAGGATACCAAGAACCAATAGCATCCAAAGATAGCAAAAGAAGTAATTTTAAAGGGGCTGTATCAAAAAAACAAAAAGGCATCCTCCCATTAGCCTCAACCTTGGCAAGCCAATCAGTACAACGATTAACCTCTCTCAAAACATGGTTAAACCTAATAAATCGAATACATTTTATCAAACTCCTAATCTCACTAATTATAGAAAACAAAGGATGTTTACAAGTAGGAAAGTTGATAAGCAGGGAGACGGTCTCTATAGAATTACTTTCAATCCAAATCAGCTGAATATTTTCTTGCACAACCATCTTAAGCCCCCAATAAACTCCCCAGAACTCAAGGGCTAGACGGGTATGTTTATAAGCATTTGCAATTCTTGTAATAGCAATGTTAAGTTTTCGGTTCACACAATTCAGTTTTTTTTGCATATTCGTCTGTCCAGGGCCTATAAAACCCAGCTAAAAATCTTCCTTTATTATCCCAAATAAGCCCTTCGTAGCCAGCATGACCAGAAATTGGTGAGGTAACTTCATCCACATTGAGCTTTAGATGCGACTGGATAGGAGCTTGCCATTTTATCTGACTTTGGGAATCCATCACACCAGCATCCTGATTAATCTTGCCACAAAAAAGAAAGAAATCAAACTCATGTAAAATATCCTGTAACAAAGTTTCAACATTACTGTGCAAGTTTTAAAAAATAGCCTGGTTCCTATTTCTCTACAAATTCCATAATGTTATCCCAAACAACACATTCCAGTGAGGATATTTTTTAAAATTCTGAGTATCTAAATTATATTCGAGCCAACTATGCAAACCTTGACTAAAGAAAGGAACCCAGTTGTCAGAAAGAATAAAAGAATTCTAAATCTTTTGGGCAAACCAGCAATCCCTAAGAATATGTATGATAGATTTTGCGTCCTCACTATACCTAAAGCATTATGAGGAGTTGGCCATTCCTCTTTTACATCTTTTCACATTGGCTAACAATTTACCATGAGCAACCTTCCAAAGAAAAATAGAGATTTTAAGAGGACATCCCTATTTCCAAATTACTTTAAACACGTTATTATTGATCTCCCCACTGTCCTCAATATTTGAAATTAGATTATAAGCTGACTTGACGATAAAAATGTCATTACTGAAATATTTCCAGAAGAAAAGATCCGGAACCTTAGACCTTATAGCTAGGGAATTTTGGGAGATGATGTCACAAATATTAGCAGACAACAAAGACCAAATTCTAGACCAATTCTAATTATTTTGGGAGACATATAAAACAGCAAGTGCATTCTAATGATACTTCAAGATAGGTTGAAGAGCATAAGTGGATAGATTTTGGACCCAATAATCCTCCCAAAACCTAATAGTTTGACCATCCCTTAGGATTTAACCTATCCCATTATAGAAAAAGTTCCAAACAAACAACAATCCTTTCCACACATAAGATTGATTTTGGTTAGATTTAGAAAAAGAGGATTTACCAATGGCAAAAGTATACTTTCTACTTAACACCTGAGCCTATAACTCATTAGAAGAGGTAAAGAGTCTCCACCTAGGTAGGTATACTCCTGATACATGACTGGGATAAAAGGACTCTTCTAGCCATAGATAAGGACTTTAGTTTCTATTGAAAAAGCTTTTTCATGACCTTATCCAATAAATTATGTCTAGCTAGATTAAGATAGCTATGGGAATGCCCAAATATTTTTCAAAATAATAGGCCTGATTAAAACCTAAGCAAGAGCAAATTTCCTATGCTAGAACAGGGTCACTATTTTTAGAAAAGAAAATAGAGGATTTACCCTAATTGACCGTTAATCCAGAAACATCAGAGAAATTATTAAGAGTATTTCTAATTATTTTAGCATTAGATCTATCAACTTTAGCAACTAAAATTATGTCATCAGCAAAAAATAGATGAAACACCCTAGGGCCCTAATTACTAAAAGAGAAAAGTGTCTAACTACTAGCAATAACATGATCCTGGATTAAGTGACCTAATCGCTCTAGAAGGTTTAAATTCCTCAGTTCTGCTATTATTCCAGTTAATGGTCATAGAGGTAGATGATATGCACTAATAAATAAGTTCAAACAACTCACTATTAAGGCCAATTTTTTGTAGTGTCTTTTATGAAGCTCCGCCTAAGCTTATCATAAGCCTTCTCTAGATCCAACTTGACAATCACGTAACCTTTTCTTTTATTCAATCTACTAAAAGAATGAACTATTTCCTAAATCACTAAAATGTTGTTAGTCCCTTACCTACCTTTTATAAAACTAGTCTGATTGGTTGAGATTAAAGAAGGCATAACTGCACTCATTCTCTTAGCTATTAACTTAGTTATAATTTTGTAACTTACATTACACAAAGAAATGGGTCTAAAATTATTTACATATTTAGGGTTATCCTTTTGGGAATAAGGGTAATAGATGTGTCGTTAACAACAGCAATATTGGAGGGGCTTTTGAAAATATCAGAGATAAACGTAAAAAAAAAAAAGAACCTATAAACTCCCATTGGTTTTTAAAAAATAAAGTATGAATCTCGTTTGGACCTGGGACTTTAAAGTTTCTTATACTAAATAAAGAAGCTTTAACTTGTACAAAAGAAATATCAGAATTTAAAAGAACTAATTCATCACTCCTAAGATTGGGAAAAGAAGAATTAGTGTGAAGAGGGGATCCCTAGGCTCATTATCAAAATAAAGAGTTTTAAAGTGGTCAACAACCTAGGCTTTAAGCTTAATGGGGTCATAAACCCAATTATTCCTGTCATTCCTAAGAGCCTCTATCAAGTTTTTTTGTCTACGAATTAAAACAAATTTATGAAAAAAAAAACTAGTATTCCTATCTCCTAATTTGAGCCAGTTAGACTTATATTGGTGAAACCAATAAATTTCTTCATGATTTAGAATTTTCTTGTATTTCCTCTATAGGGAATTCATAAGATTTAAAAGAAAAGGATTATCACGAACTGCTAATTTACAAGAGATACACCTTATTCTATTTAATATTCTCTTTTTCCTATTAAAAATGTTACCAAACACCTTTAGGTTTCAATCAGCGATATTTTTTGGGAAGAAAGATATATTCTCAGTCCAGGTTCTAGAGGCAATTCAAGAGTTTTTAACTTGATTGGAAAAATCACTATGGGTCAAGGGAGCCAAAAATTTAAAAGTTTTATTATGAGGAACAGATCTGGTCCCTTCTCTAATTCTTAACCATAGCCCATGATGGTCGAATTTAAGAAGGAGTAGGTGAATAAAGGAGCTATTTGGAAATAGCACCCTCTAAGAGTCACTAACTGCTACTCTATTAATCCTTTTTTTTAGCTGGCCTTTATGCCAAGTAATTTTATTTATCTTTATTCTTACGTTAACTGAAGTGATGTATAAATTGAATAAAAAATTATAAGAAATAAAATTATAAGTCATGAAATTTTCAATCACCATTAAGAGTTTTTTTTTTCTTCACAGTTTTTTAATTTGTTTTAAACATAAGATTAATCACTATCTTATATGTCATGACAAAAAGAATAAAAAGAAATTAGGAAAATTGAAGTCACTTTTGAAGTAAATTCTTAAATATGAAGTGTTTTGATGATAACAAATCTTTAGAAAGATTAAAAATTCCAAGCATTTTAAACTAAGTTTATCATTGATAAATATTCTAAGTACATAGTGTTTGTGGACAAGTGTATCTGTCGAAAAGATAAATATTTTAAGTACATAAAATACTTGGATAAGTGTATTTGTCAAAATGTAATAAAGGAGTTTTAAAACAAGTTTCTAAAATATTATCCTACAAAGATTGTTTTCAAGTACCAATAATATCTTAATTCAATTATTTGAACTCAAAGAATGCAAAATTAAATAAAACAAGAATAAAAAAATTAAAACAATACAACTTATGAAAATAAATTAATCAATATGTATTCTAGAGTATATGGTTTTACCTTTATACTTCTCCATGTTCACTTTTAGATTATTTTTAATTCTGATTTCTTATAATTGTCAACTACTCGTATGAAAGCTATTAACACCTCATAGTCATGCAATGCTAACAATCTTTTCCTTAAGCTATTACTCTCAATAGTCATGCAAGGGAAAAGAAAGGAAAAACATGAAGAGCTTACAAGTTGTTAATTGAATAACAGTTGAAAGAGAAGAACTAAGTTTAGTTCACTTAATTTTTTGTCTTGTTTTACTGTATAGATTCATTAATTATATGCGGTATGCTCACCTACAGAAAAATTAATTATGATATGTTTAAGAATTATCAATTACAAACATACAAATGTAGCATAATATAATAAATATCAATTAAGAAGGAAACTAAAATTATTATCAATTACAAGGATTACATAGAGTCATGCAATGGGTCCACCATATTCTTAACTATGAATTTAATTAGACATAATGTAATAAGAAACTAAAGCAATAATAAACTAATCCATAGTCATTTAAAGAATAAATACAAACTAAAAAAGTCTCTTGTGAAAAAGAGATGAAGAGAGTTTTTTATTTCAAGATGTGAAAAAGAGATGAAGAGAGTTTTTTATTTCAAGATGCATTCTTAAAATTCTACCAATCATCAATGACTAGCCAAAACTAAGATATCTCAGTAATCCTTAAGTTTCTTTAAAGAGAATTTAGAATCTACTAGAAATTATACTAATTGCTTCTAAAAGACTTTATATATGAAATTTTAAAATTTAGCTAACTTTTATGGTGTAATTCTCCCAAAATTCTTTTCAATTGAGATCAAAACTTTCCACCGTCTCTCTGAGGTACAAATGAACAGCGCAAATGTTCGCATGAGGCTAGTCAAACTCCGTGAAACGTAGTGGATGGAATGTTATTAAACATTAATTAGAAAAAGTTATTTTTAATTTTCTCAACTTAGTAATTTCTCAAATATAAATTCACTTTTGTTTTAAGTATCTAAGTTATTAATTATTTCACGAATAGATTATATTATTCAAGCTACAACTAAACTTAAATTAAGGACAGAGTTCTTATATACTTAATTGTTACATAAGAATAAAGTGGTAGCAGAATTTACAAGCAAAACACAAGTCCTTTGAGGAGAAAGCATTGAACTATTTTCATTATTCATTTTTAATCTACAGTTCTACCTAAAAAAATATGTCTAAACTTTATACCCAATTTTTTCACATCTAGACATTCTAGACTGACTTTGCTATTTCTTAGTTTAAGGACTCAAATAATAAACCTCATAGACGTTGATTTACTCGTTTCATTATTTGTGATTTTTTTAAAATAACAAATACGAACATGAGGAAGGTAAGGATTGAAATCCTTAACCAGTCTTTTAAACATTTCATGTTACTCGGGTAGAAGCCAATTAATCATAAAGAAAACAACAGTAGGAATAAAAAGTTGTATTGGAAGAAGTAAAGAATGGAGTGTGTTGTTTTTTCTTCTTTTCTTTTTTTTCCAGAAATAACACTCTAGTGACGATAATCCAAATTAAAAAAGAAATAGGGAAAAAAAAAAAAAAACATGCTTTGAACTTTCAAAGAAAGACAACCAAAGAAAAGTGAAGATGTGAACGTGAGAAGCTAGCCCGGGTTTTTGCAAAATGTTTTAGACTGTCGAATTTGATCGCAGGTAAAGGGGCATGTCTGGGTTGGTTAAAATGGTTTTGCAGCCTCTTCTATCATCTTCTTTACTCTGGTCAACTTCTCAATCTCCCTAAGAGCCTGAAATTGGTTGAGAATAATAAGAAAAACTCTACAGAGCCAGAAAATAATTCAGTAAAACTTTTTGAAGTTCAATAATAATAGTTAACTAAGTCACAATACTAGGAAGCAAGAACCATACATGCATCCAAACTCAATGTCAGTGCTTACTCAATATAGTAAAAATTAAGCTTATCCAGTATTTTCCTAAGAAGAAACATTTAGTATGACATGCATCCAATTAAAGCTACAACTTGCTTGAATAAAAATGATAACCTCCAAAGTCAAGTCTTCTCTTGTAATTTCTTCTAAGTTATCATAACCCAACCGAGATGCTACTTCTGTAAAAAGAAAGAAGCCATTAATACATGAGACACTATAAACCACCCCTACCTCCCATTGTGTGCAAAAACTGTTAATAAGAGAGCCAGGAAAGGTTATGTACTTTCAACTGAAATAATAGCATCAGCTGTAGCATATCCATCTCTGTATTTATTGTATAGAACACCTACTTCATCCTTTACCTAATATCATTATTCAGAGACATTTACAATTAGGGATTTAAATTTATTGATGGTAGAAATTTGTAAAACTTATATCACTACACTTTTCATAGTACGAATAAACCTCTGGGTATGATCCTGTAGCAGATATTTCAAAAGAAGCAAATTGACCCTGCTCTTCAATTACATCCCTAGCCACAATGTCTAGAGGCACATCTATCCACAATGAAATCCCATGTCTCAGAAGTGCCCTATGTCAATTTAAGGCAAGTCAAAACAAGACAATACTGTAGCTAACATGGATTTTGGCATATTATTTAGCAAATTTAAGAAATGTGAGCTCAAATAGCTGGCAATTATAAATCCATACAGATTAGTGGAACTTCGAACAGCACCATTTCCAACACAAACCACTAGTCTTCCCATGGATGACAATTGCTTCAGTACTTCAGTCTGCAGCATTTGACATGTAAAACAGATATATTTGATACTCTAATTCAACAGATAAGTGATGGAAATGGGCTTCTTTATCTTGAAATTTCAGTTCGAAAAAGGAACATATTATATTAAGGTCACAGCTCTAGGATCGCCCCTTTAATAGGAAGAACTTATAGCAATTAAGCACATAGGTAATGATGCAACACAAATCAAATACAATCACCTCAGACTCAAAGAAGCCTTTTTCATCACTCTCTCTAAGGGATTTTGCGGCCGAAGCGCCCCCTATAGCTTCTTCCACCACACTGTCACTGTATACAGTACATAACTATTAACTTAAACTAATAAATTGGAAGCTACCTTAGTTTACCAAAGAATACTCCTTCCCGTCTTATATATAAAATTTTTTCATCTAAAGTACACAAATTAAAAAAATTATCAAAATTAATTAATGTATTGATTTTTAAGAAATTAATTGCAACATTTAAAGTTTATTCTTTTTTAAAATCAAACTCAAACTCTATTATCATATTAATTATAAAAAAAATTAAAAAGTTTAATATTTTAGAAAAGATAAACATTAAAAAGGGGAATAAATATTTGTTAAGCTTTACAAAAAAATTATATTAAAAAAATACACATTTGCTTCTAATAATTGATGCTTATTTATAGATTAATTTTCATACTGCAAAAAAATTATTTTTAAAAAATTATTGTTCGTTAAGTTAGATTTTTTAACAGTATTTTAACGGCAAAAGTGAAATCGTGATAAAAAAAAAAAAGTCGTAGCAAATACTGTAAGTTTCTAAAATAAAAACTAACTTATTTTAAGTGAAAAGAGGGAAGGGAGTAATAAACAAATACATACCTGTCGAAATAATAATATCTTAATGCATCAGCCAGCAGCTTCCCCAAACCGATTTTGAGAGAGCTTTTCATACCTTTGATCAAATAAATAGAACTGGGCTGAGTCACATTAAGCCACGAACATTCAAAGCAGTTAAGTGGTGGGCATAGCAACTCTTACCAGTGAGAAATATAGAGGTCCCTTTCAGCTCAGGAGATACATCTGCTGCTTTCTTCTGACCAAAATCTAAACAGTTAAAACCCACAATTCTGTGAATATGAATGAATCTAACAAGAAGTGAAGGGTATCTCTCTTACCTTCACCGCAACAGATGAGTCTGTGGCAGCAACCGAAGCTTAATAATAACAATAATCACACCATTCATTCATTCATCAACTAACTGCAAAAGCCAGATTTGAATTCAGAAACGACAAAGTAAAGGCTTACACGAAAAGGTACCGTCCGAAAGTGAGGATTTGGGTCTGCGGAGTCGAAGGGATTTTGGGTTTTGGGTTGGGAAGCTGAGAGAGGAAGTTAACTGCTTAAACTGAAGAAAGGTGTTTGTGCGATTGAGAAGTGGGAGACCCCTTTTCATGTGGCTTACGCTTACCTTCTCCATCCTAATGTTATCTCTCTCGCTATTCAATATGCTAAAAATAATCTCCCTTGCAGGTAAGAGAGAACTTGTTTTAATTACGCTGTTGATAAAATTATTCTTATTTACAACAATAAACAATTAAATTTGTTAAAAAATAAAATTATGAATTTAATTAAAATGTTGTAAATATTTGTATACTGTTTCTCAGTTCCATATTATTACATCAACGATTTTGTATTTGTTGAAATGGTCGTGAGATTGATTATATAAAATAAAATTAGATTAACAATACATGAAAGGAAAACATTAAAATGTCTTTAAAGGGCTACCTTCTCTTTTATGTAAGAAACTTAAATCTAAATTTTTATAATATATTTTTATTATGATGTAATACAACTTATATTTGAAATATTATATATATATATATATATATATATATATATATATATATTACGAAACTCATCTTTAAATTTTGAATAGTTCATGTTATTATAATAAAAAGAAAATTTACACAATTTTGTATATCATATAAAACCATTTAAATTAATGCTCGTTCAAATTAGGAATTTTTAAAAAATTAAGGTTTCTAATTGAAAGAAAAAGTTGTTAAATCAAAGAATTAACACAATTATATTAGCAAGTTCGACTTTTATTTATATTTTTAGGACTTGAATAAAAATAAAGTGTAACACCCTAAATTTTTCTCTTTTCATAAATAATTTTACATTATGTTAACCTCATTTAATTAAAAGTAAGTAGTATGAAGAGACTTGAGAACTAGAATTTTTCTTAGTAAAATTTACTGAAACAGGTTTGATCGGTAAATAATCAAGTAATATGAAAAGGAAATAAAAAAAGTTATTTAACCTTTTAGAATATCTAAAATATTTTTATGAATTATAAAAAATTTAGAAAGATCCAAAAATGGAAAATAAATAAAATTATAAAATTTAACTAAAATGACCAAAATATCCCTAGAAACACTTAGAATGAAGGCCCATTTTGGACAAGCAAATGAAGGAGATAAATTATGATATTTTTATAATAGATGGCCCATGTGTAGAGGTTATGGACGTGCAAGTATGGAGCCAAAAGAGCAAGTATAGAAATTACCCAAAAATCACCCAAAAAGAGGCCTAAAAATCAAGTGTATATGAAAGAAAGTGGGCTAGGAATAGTAGTAAAGAGCCATGTGACCCTTTAGAGCCATGTGAGACTAATCATGATTAAGGGATAAGGTCATTTATGGTTTAATCTCAGCTGGATGAGCATATTCCATAAGAACCAATGAAATTAAGCCAAAACAACAAGATAAGTATTCTTAGAAGATAAGGCTAATAATGAATAATTTGTGGACTAATCCTCATCCAATAGATCTAATTGGACCATGACTATGGCCATTGGATTTAAACTAAATAGGTTTCAAAAAGTAATTGGAATGGTTGAAATGGAACTAGAAAAGTTAAAATCTAACTAGAATTACAAAACTATCATGAAAGGGCAATTTTGGATATTTATAAATGTGCACATGGGTAGGCTTGTAGAAAAAGCCAAAAAGGAACCAAAATTGAAAATCAAGACTTATGTGAGAGAGGGTGGAACCGTAAGATGCATGGGAGTGGGCCAACATGAAGAGATTTTCTATATAAAGCCATGCATGAAGGAGAAAAAGACCCTTTATACTAATACTCATGCAATCAAGAGCTCTTTACTTCTTCTTCATCTTAATTCTCTCTATATACATCCAAGTTCATCTCAAACACTTTACTTGCACCCTACAAGTTAGATCACCCAATACCCCACCATAAGGATCTCGAATCAAGTCTTTAACCCCACCAAAAACACCAAAATACCCCACAAAATCAACTAAACCCCCAACTTTCTTTTTGTATACTATTTGGCACTTGAGGAAGTAAGAGGCCAAGGAAGGAGATACTTACTTCCAAGAGGTGAAATAAAGCAAAAGGAAAAAGGAGAAGGATCATCCAAAGATCAAGGCAAGATCAACCCAAAAACACTAAGTAAGAGAGAGGGTACTTTTCATAATCAAGGGGAATATCTTGTTTAAATGGTTTTGAGTCAAGGGGAGCCTTAACCCTTTCGGCTGTGATTGAAGTTGTGTGTGTTGATGAACCCATGATTAAAATTTTGATTGAAATAAATAAATGCATGGAAATCACTAAGAACCACAAAGTGTTTGATGATGACTTTATTTTTTATGTGGTTGGTTGTATGAAAATCTTGCATGTTTCATTTTGTGACTTATTCTTATGATGATATCTAAGTTGGATTCATGATCTTTTTTTGGATTAAAATTAGTTTGGAGTCAAAATGAATTTTTAAAGTATTTTTGAAAATTTATGAAAAAAACTTCTAAAAGGAAATGGATTAAAAATGGAAAATGACCATGATGAAGACCCTTGAGCTTTTGAACATATTTGGACCTATGCACTACATGGACAAATGATGAGAACAAACTTTAAAAAATAAAAATAAATTTTAAAGATTGAACCTAAAAATAGAAAAATACCATGGACTTCGACAAAAAAAAAAAAAACCTTAAAAATGCAAGATCCTTATTCACATATGTGGTAGGACCAAGAGAATGATTTGGACCATATTTGGACATGAATTAATGACCTCGAACACATGGAAGATATAATGGACAATTTGATGCTTACCAAATTGGAGACAAGGACTTTTTCTCAATTAATATAAAATATAAGGATTAAGAAGTAAATAATGTAAAATATGAGAAAATCTTTAAAAGTGTTTTTTTTAGTATTTTATTCATGAAGATAGTAAAATTTATACTATTTTCCCGCTGAGTTTATTTTATTTGGATTTATATTTAATTAGTTATGATTTTTATAAATTTTTGTTGCATGAAAATGGTATTCTGGGCAGTATATCTTGATTTATTTTCGTCTCACTGTGTGTTTGGAGCGTTATTTTATTGATATTTTTCTACGAAAATAGACTTCTTAATGGAAGTATACTCACTGGTTTCACTTGATTTGGAATTGAAATAAAATAGTTATGAATATTTTAATATTCGGTTATGTGTAAATATTTTTTTTGAGAACTGCGTACTTTAAATCATTTTCTTCTTATAATTCAAGTGTAATTGTATTTTATTTATAATATTTTATTAAAGTATAATTTATAATAAAAATATTCTCACTGTGTTTGATCAATTTGGAGTTAAAATGAATTACTTATGATTTTTTCAAGGTGTTGTTGTATGAGAGTAACGTTTTGTGCATGCTACTGAGAACTCTCTTTTCGTGTTAAAATGTATAAGTAGTGTTATTTTATTATTATTTTTGTGTAAAAATAGAGACTATAAGAGAAATATCCTCACTAGTTTGATGAATTTTGGACTTAAAATAAAATAGTTATGACTTTTCTAAATTAACTGATTCTGAGAAGTGTGTTACTGTGAGTGATAGAGAATGTTTAGGACTTATTCTAGAATATGGAAGATATAAATTTTTAATTATATTTTTTGATGAAACTGGATGACCAAAGTGAAAGAATGCCATTTGTTTCATGAATTTTGGTGGTGAATTGAATAACTTATGATTTTTCCAATAGGTTGTTGTTAAATTGTGTTATTCTGTGACATGTATGAGAAATTAAAGCACGAATTGATGTCTGGGAATAGTTTTATTTTGGAATTATTTTTACATGAACATAGACATATTAATGAGAATAATCTTACTGGTCTCATGTGTTTTGGATGAGAATTGAATTTATTATGAATTTTACAATATGCTAGTTGTTTAGTGAAATGATCTGAAAACAGCAGAGGTAAGCTGAGACTTGATTGATTCTTTGAAAGCTTTTGTATTTTGGCTGTAATTTTATATTATAGTATACATTTAAAGGAAAAAAAACCCTTGTGATTTCATGATGTTTGGACTTGTATCGAATTAATTATAAATTTTACAAGTTAGTTCATGAAATCTGAAAAATTTTGATTGTTAACCATGTCCATGTAATTGATTGTTCTCTTGAAATAGAAATGTTATAATGTGCCTGTTGGACAATCAATGGCTATGATATTATTTGTGTTTATGATTATGAAAGAGGTTGAATACGCCACGGTACAGGCGAGGAGCAAATAGTGTTGGTATTTACCATAGGGAATAGGAGAGTGCCCAAGATTTACAGGGGACCAAGTCTAGCTAACTTCTGTCATAGGCAGTGGAAACTTTGCTAACCTATCTTGACAGACACTAGAGCATACCAAGATTGGTTTGAGTGTGGGCTGTTGGTAGTGATCATAAAGTGAGAATTGTGCACTTATGTTCTGTCTCCAGAAAGGAGGAAGATATACCTATGACACTAGCTGGATTGCAGACACAACTCTCAATCTTAACCTGAAATTAAAATGTTGGATATTAATTAATTACTCCATGGAAGACTTACAAATAAAAGATACTGAATGATTATTGTTTGATGCTTGAACGTTGTTTTGTTCATTTAAACATGAGTATTGCCTATTAGGTTGTTTATGAATATTTGTACCCACCCCTATCTTTTTCTATGATGTGTCCAAAATGTATATGGATGCAGAATGAATGAAGGTGCGCCAATTATTCCTGCGCGTACTATGACCTTTAGTATGAGGACTGGAGAGTGGAGTTTCAATGACTCAAACTCCAACCAGACTATCATATTTCAAGGCTTTATTATCTTAACTATATCTACTATTAATAATCCCTATATTAGTCCTACTATTATACAAGGAGAAGCTAGAGTGGAGGTCCCTTTTCCTCTCTGCCATACGACTACATACCTTGGCATTGATCTCGACCCTCCTCCAGGGGGATTTGATGAATAAGGAAGGAGTCAAGAGGAGAGGAGGAGTTTAGTCTATTTATATATTATGTGTAGTATACTATCCTAGACTGTTAACCTTCCTTGTAATGTTCTATAGTTAAATAATTTTGAAAATAATCTATACGGTATGTAATATTATATTATATACTCTAAATATTGTGCTTGAGGACATAAATATAATAAGCATGTTGATGTGTATACATTTGAAATTGAGTAGTTATTAAATGCTTTAATTTATTCCTTATTCACCACAAGAAATAGGATGATATTGAGAAATACTTATTGAAAATAGGGACGTCTTATAAAGAGTTAGGTTACTTAGATAAAGATTTAATGAACTTATTCTATAACATTTATGATATATTGATTTTTCATCATAAGTATTGTGTTTGATAATTGTAAACATAAAAAAATCTTGTTATCTCAATTTAAATTTTATACTAGAATTTATAATAGGTTTCGTACTTGCTTTAGAAAAAAATGATCATTTCATTTAAATTATTAGTCAAATAGTAGAGAAATTGTAAAATTAATAATTGAGTTGCAAGCCTCTTGGGAATGATATTCAACTTATCCATACTATAAAAATAATCAATACATTTGCACATTTGCCGTGATTTAAATCCAACAAGTTTTTGGTACTATTACTGGAAGGTTATTAAATCAATATTAAAAATACAGAAAAAAAACTACTAATTTGGTTGTTGTTAATTTTGTTAGATTTTGTTTTGATTTTGTTTTTCTTTAATATTCTTTGGGGTTTTTTTTTCTATTTGTGTTAAAACTTATCTTTGGTTTATTATTATGTATGTGAGGTAAAATCATTTTGGAGTTCAATTTTGATCTAGAAATTGAGAAAACAATAAAAAGAAATAGAAAGGAAGCAAAAGAAAGAAAAGCTAGAGAAAGAGCTCATGGAAGAGGTGAAGCTATACAAAAAGAAATTTTGCATTAAAAAGTAAATATGACTGAACAAATGATAGAGTCACATTGGCAGACTATGTCACACCAACATCGGATGGGTGAAGTTCAAGTATTTTAAGATTACCAATTGCTTCCAATAATTTTGAAATTAAACTCACTCTTCTTCATTTAGTGCAACATGACCAGTTACGTGGAAGTGATGTTGAGGACCCAAATTTACATATCTCAAAATTTCTACAACTTTGTGATATAATCAAGATGAACAATATTTTTGAGGAGGCAATAAGCTTGAGGTTATTCCCTTTTTTTATTTAAGGGATCTTGCTAAGTGTTGGCTTCAAACTCTACCAAGAGGGAGCATCACTATTTGGGAAGATTTAATTTCACAATTTCTCACAAAATACTTTCTTTCTTCCGAATACAATAAGATGTGAAGAGAAATTTCTTGCTTTACACAAAGGAAAGAGAATCCTTATATGAAGCTTGGGAGAGATTTAAAGTGCTACTAAGAAAATGTCCACATCACGAGTTCCTTGAAATACAACAAGTCTGCATTTTCTATACTGAAATCAAGCCATCCACTGGCTTATTATAGATGCTTTGGCAAGAGGTTCACTTAATGCAAAGATAGCTAAAGAAGTAATGGAATTGATTGAAATGATGCTTAAAATGAATATCATGTTTGAAGTGATAGAAATATGGGAAAAAGAAGAGTTATGCACCTTGACACACAAGATACTTTGCTTACTCAAAGTAGACTTACAATAAAAAAAATAATTGGACGACATGTCTAAGAAATGTGAAGCTATACAATTATGTTGGACATAATCACAACCTTCAAAAGGTGATTTTTGTAGAAGAAATCATGAAAATGGGTGTTGTGATCCTACTTTAATGGGAGCTTATACAAAAGAGCAACTTCACTACATTGGTCAAGGACCAAAGCAAAATTATCAATCCATCTCAAATGCCTATAATCCGAACTTAAGGAACCATCCAAATCTTTTGTGGAGAAAGAGTGCTCATGTTTAAAACCCAACAACTCCACCACCTCCAACTTCCAATAGAATATAAACTTTGGAGAATACTCTTGCTTAATTCATGCAAGCTAGTCAAGCTTCTATTAAAAACCATGAGAACCAAATTGGACAACTTGCTAAGCAACAAATTGAAAAGGTAAATGATACTTTTCTTATGATACTTTTCTTAGAGATACAGTAGTAAATCCAAAAAAATAGTATAAGTAGTGTAATGTTATTATCATTAGAAATGGGACAATAGTAATTCCTCAAGAGAAATCAAGAGAGAAAATAAGGAAAATTGGAAAAGAGGTGCAACAAAAAAATAGTAATTTATTGAATAAATTAATTTTGTTTGTTTATTTTATTTTATTTTTTCCTCTCGTCCGTCTTCTTTCTCCTCATCTGTATCATAAATACACAATGATTTGTTTATAGTGGCTCAAAGTTGCATTGATGGTGGTGCATCTAACACCCATATTTTATTCAAAATCATAAAATATTCTTCAATAATTTTGATTTAATTATTTTTAAAAAGTTAAATAATTTTGAGTATGTTTATTTTGACAAATTTGGTAGGTTAACTTTTAGGATTTTATTTTCAAATCTATTTTTGTAACTAAAAAAGTTAGTTTTAACTATACATGTTATTTTTGTAATATTTTATGCTAAAATTTGGTTTAATTACTAGATAGTTCATAAAAAAAAATGTTTTAAGTCAAAAATAATATTAGTATAATAAATTTTTTATAATTTTTTTGACTTATTTATCTATTTTATATAATTTATTAATTATACAACTAGTAAAATATTATGAAATTGTTTATGTTCCTTAAAATTGTTGTGAACTCTTTCCAAGCCTTATTTCATTTTTCCTCCACCAAGTACCAAGGGAAGCCCCAAGAATCGATAAATGTTGATTGTTGGAGTTTATTTCCACCATTGAAGAGTACAAACCCTTTCTCCTAAGTTTGATTTTCTCATCCTTTCTTATCCTCTTCAAAATTGTGATCTTCCTTTCCTCTTACTCATGGATTTTGCTGAATTTTTCCTTATATAGAAAGAGGAAACAAACATTTCTCCAAAATTTTTAGGGTCTTTGAAGCTCTAGCTTAACATGCACTTTCACAATTTTTTCCTCTTACTCATGGAGAGTAGTGAACATTGTTCCTAATAACAACATGATCATAATGAACATATAAAGAGTCTAATACAGCAGCCCTAATTGTAATTGAAAGTCCTTTTTTTTCATGTAAATAAAGTATTAGTTAAACTCGGTCATAGCAAAGAACAGTGTATCCATCTTGATTACTGATGAAAGGATTGTCACTACTATCAAAATATAATTAAAATTAGTGTAATATTAGGTGGAGTTAACCTATGTCGTCCTATTGTGAACATTGGGTAAGAGATCAAATATCAAACATGAAATGTGCATCAAGTTCAAAAAACGAAAATAGGAGGGTTTTGTTGCTTTTAGGTTATCAAACATTCAAGTGAAAAATTTAAGTTTAGAAAATCAATTAAAAAAATATATTAATCCCTAGCTCATCCATACTGGTTCAATCATAAATCCACCAAGAATTGGTGACTAATCCCTTCCTAGAATTTAGTTAATTAGAACAAGCGTCCATTAACCCTAAACTCTCATGCAAGATTAAGCAAATCACACGAGCTCTAATTTTTGGTCCTTAGAATTAAGCAAACTTAAGACTCAACCCACAATTAAGCAAACTGAGTTTTAATACTCTTGTTAAGAAAGGGATTTATATTGATTAAGCAATAATCTTGATTCAATTCTTAATTCAATTCTCAAGAAATTAAGGAAATGAAATTCAACGGGAAGAAAATTCGTATTAACAATCAAATTAAGATTTCAAGAACCATTATGAACTTATTAAGAATTAATAAGCAAAAACTAGCTTCCATATAGATGGGGTTCAACATTGTAATTGAATAATGTTTACCAAAAACCAGAAAAATTAAAGTAAATGAAAGGAAGAAGAAATAAGAACCCTAAAAATGAACTCTTGGTAGCCACCCAGAGTTGTGACCTAATCCTCTGAAAAGTGTGTAAGAATAAAAGTACAATAAAATGGCAAAAAGATCCCTATCTTATAAGTGAAAATCTATTTATAGTAAGGGCAACTCTTCTTGGAGAATCACTATGACTAATGAAAGTGATTACGCGTAGGTCCATGCACTACTTCATCTTTGGAGTGATTATTTTCACTAGAGAAAGTAATTACACACAGCGCGCGTAACTATTATGACTGTTGAGGGTAAACACACTCAACTTTGTTAGCCAGATAGGCTTGCGTGTAATCACTATGGATGGTAAAAGTAATTACTTGCAGTCTCGCCTCTCTGAAATGCTCTCTGTAGTGTCTACTATCAATGATGAGAGTAAATACGCGCAAACTTACCTCTTAGAAATGGTTTTGAGGTGGTTAGTTTCAATGTTGGAAGTGATTATTTTCACTTGACCCTTGGAGGAAGTTTAGTGGAGTGATTACTTCAAGCGTTGAAAGTAAGTTGTAACGCCTTAAATTTAATTTTTCAATAAATAAGAAATTTCACAAATTTTTGAAATAATAAAATTTCTATTTTAATTCAAGTTTCATCAACCATTTCAAATAAAGGAAGGGTTTATAAATTATATCAACAGTTGCTACAGGACCTATTCTAATACAACAGTTTTCCAAAGTAATATTCTTAGTCTTATAGCAGTTCCATCCACCCATTCACTGAGCCCAGTGCTGATCGTCTTGATTATCTGAAAAATGAATGTAAGGGTGAGTACTCTACAGTACCAAAAACACACAATCAACATAGAGTCTCGCCTCTAGAACCTTCCCAATACATTCAACAAATACAACCACAAGCAGCAATTCATATCCATAAGTACAAAACACAAATTCATTCATACGCATACCAGCCACCTCACTATAGTACTGTGATTACATATTTACACAATGAATGATCGTCGGTTACCCCCGCTTCACGGATACCACGTGGGCAGTCACGGGTCGCTCAACAAGGATAGTGGTCAGAGTCTAGTCAGGAAGAGAGTGTGTCGCCTGTGGTGCACCCGTTCCGCAGTCGGTGTCACCACCACTCTCTCCTCCCTAAGGTATTCCTACCGTCCTCATCTTCTGCACCCCAATGTATCCCTGAACCATTCACAGCACTTCACAACGGCACTAATACGCCCATTCACACATATATTCCATTCACGCATGCAATGATCTTGCTCACACACGGCCCACATTACATTCAAATACACGGCACTAGGTCCATATTCATTTCACATCACACGACACATAGCCAATATTCATCTATCATGCAACATTTACATACAATCCACATCCATCATGTTTAGGTCAACACACATAATGTTCACATATCATGGCACATGGCCCACATTACATTTCTCAGCAATTTCCTACCCCCTAACTTAGCTGCAACACAATATTAAGCAAAATAACAACAATTTATTGCACAAAAGAGTAGGATAGAGTCCTCCCTTATCTTGGATTGACGTCCCACACGCTAAATCCACTAAGGAATGCTCCCCCTAACAGATTTCATCCTAAATACATGGATAAACTACATGAGAACCCAGGGAAAACACGAAAACAGAGAAAGGGGATGAAAAATTGAAACCCTAACCATTAAAACTTACCTCCAAGCGTTCCCAACACGGATTCAACCTTCAATCAAGCTCCCGAATGACTTTAGAGGCAATTTAATCGGTGAAAAAGGGCTTTGGGCATGAGAGGATCGAAGGGAGAAGGAGAAATAACTCTCCCCAAATCCTAACCCCCTTTAAATTCCTTTTTGATCGCGACACTCTCGCTACAACAAGATATTCTCGCTGCACGCCTAGTGAAAAATCAGAGAAAACTGCACTCTGGTTTCTGCAGAATCTTGCTACAGCGAGAATGCTCTCAGAATGCACCCAAACTGTCGCTTTCTCGCTACAACGAGAAGGTGACAGTTTCAGTCCTTCTTCCTAGGGCTCTCTCACTACAGCGAGAACAGCCCAGTATCTCGCCCTATACTTAGGCACTTAGTACATTTCAGCCCAACCAGTCATGCATACACACATATATATATATATACATACATATTCACAACATATATATAAAAATACACACATATATACATTTAGATTTATATAATTATTAATAATTAATATTACAAAATTTGGGGCATTACATAAGTACTTTTACCTAATTTTTTCTCAAACTCAAATCTCATAGATTATTGTCCAAAAATTCCTGCACAATTATTCTACTTAACAAAATTACAAAAGATAATTATAAAATTCATGTAGATTAAACTAAATTAAGAAAATTAGAATTAATGACATAATTAAACTTTTTATGATATTTACATTTTCTAACTCTATTTTTCTATTAAAAATATATTAAAAAGATAAGTAAAATATTAACAAAATATGAATTCATCAACTATAATAATTAACAAAAATTTAAATTTTTAAATCAA